AGAGGGTGGCACTGAAGGGCTGGAGCTAGGCCGAGGGGGGCTGTGCAGTGGGGGGCGGCACTGAAGCACTGGAGCCAGGCTAGTCACTGCCCAGGGCTGAGCTGCGGCCTGCAGATCCCCCTCCCCCTCCCTACAGTGGAGTTGTGGCCAGGCACCTCTGGCCCCTTCCCTTGCAGGTCTCATTGGCCGCAGTTCCTTGCTAAAGGGCTGGGACCCAGGTTAGCAATGGGGGTTGGGGGGCCAGACAGAGCTCCAAAGAGCTGCCCAGATACTCCGCAGCATAGAAGGATGTGGGGGATGGTGGGAGCCACTTGCCCCATGGTAAAAATTTTTAGGTCCATATGACACAATATGTCTATGTATGGACACAGTGCCGACCTATGAGCCGGGATTGCGCTCCCTCACAGACAGCCCAGTTAAATATGGGGATTACTGATTACATCATCCAAAAAAATTCTACCGATCCAAAAGGATCAGACACATTACTCACCAAGTTAATTCATTTTTCAGTCCTTACCGAAATACACACTTACTGCAAATTCTTATCAATTCACCTAAGATTTATTAAAAGGAGAAAAGAGATGATTGGCTAAAAGATCATTACACATCAAAAGATGAATGGAGTCCTTACGTCAGGTTCACTGTCGAGATGGTGCTTTAGAATTGCGAAGAGTCCTTTTTAAAATCATTTCATCAGGTTATAGTCCAATGTCCAAATGGTCGATACAAGGCAGGTCCAGCTGGGACTGGAGATCTCAGATTTTACGACTCAAACTCTCCCCAAATTAAGCTTAAGAAGATTGGAGATAAAAGAATCAGGTCCCAGGAGTTCTAATACAGATTTTTGCACCATCTCCACATCATGCAGTCCTGTGGTGAAAATTTGAAGTAAGCTTCTATTTCCTAACATCACTGGTAATCAATTATCTGCATTAACATAAGGTAATTATCCATAATGCAGTTAATAGTTTACCACAAACTTTACACAGACATACAGACAGTGACATTATTATACCCAAGTTTTATCTAAATGTTAATATTTTCTTTTGATCTTTGAATTAACAGAATACAGCCCTGGACAGGAACTGTTTGGTTACATTGTTAACCTCTAACAAGATAAAGGTAATCACAGACTACTTCAGCTACCCTCTTCATCCAAGTATTTAACAATACAAGTTTACATCTCAAACCACTATCTTATCTCGTATGGATTGGCCCTAATTACCATTTACAAATTTATGTAACATGTCTCTAATGGTTACATACGGGTCAATTACCCGGCAAGTTTTTCAACACTCCTGTCCCTGTGTAACAGAACTTCAGATCCTGTGTGGATTCTCCCATGTTTAATGAGGTGCGATCTCTGTGTGTAACTTTTCCTACAGTCCAAGCATTTATGGGGTCTCTCTCCTGTGTGAATTGCCTGATGTTTAACAACGGCTGATGTGTTTCTGAAACTTTCCCCACAGTCTAAACACTTATGGGGGTCTATCTCCTGTGTGGATTGCCTGATGTCTAACAAGATCTGACCTCCATATGAAACTTTTCCCACAGTCCAAGCACTTATGGGTCTCTCCCCTGTGTGGATTCTCTGATGTGTTATAAGATATGATCACTGTGTGAAACTCTTTCCACAGTTCAAGCATTTATGGGGTCTCTCTCCTGTGTGGATTAGCTGATGTTTAACAAAATTTGACCTCTGTATGAAACATTTTCCTTAGTCCACATATTTATGGGATTTCTCTCCTCTGTGGATTGCCTGATGTCTAAAAAGGTCTGACCTACGTGTGTAACTTTTCCCACAGTCTAAGCACTTATGGGGTCTCTCTCCTGTGTGGATTGCCTGATGTTTAACAAGGTCTGACCTCCATATGAAACTTTTCCCACAGTCCAAGCACTTATGGGGTCTCTCTCCTGTGTGCCTCCTCTGATGTGTTATAAGATATGATCGCTGTGTGAAACTTTTTCCACAATCCAAGCACTTGTTGGATATGTCTCCTATGTGGAAATCCTGATGTTTAACAAGGTCTGACCTCTGTATGAAACATTTCCCATAGTCCACACATTTATAGGATTTCTCTCCTGTGTGGATTGCCTGATGTCTAACAAGAATTGACCTCCGTATGAAGCTTTTTCCACAGTCTAAGCACTTATGGGGTCTATCCCCTGTGTGGATTGCGTGATGTCTAACAAGGTCTGACCTCCGTGTGTAACTTTTCCCACAGTCAGAACATTTATGGGGGCTCTCTCCTGTGTGGATTGCCTGATGTTTAACAAGCTCTGACCTCCATATGAAACTTTTCCCACAGTCCAAGCACTTATGGGGTCTCTCTGCTGTGTGGATCCTCTGATGTGTTACGAGGTATGATCGCTGTGTGAAACGCTTTCCACAGTACAAGCATTTATGGGGTCTCTCTCCTGTGTGGATTGCCTGATGTTTAACAAGTGCTGATGTGTTTCTGAAACTTTTCCCACAGTCCAAGCACTTATGGGGTCTGCCTCCTGTGTGGATCCTCTGATGTGTCACAAGATACGATCGCTGTGTGAAACTCTTTCCACAGTCCAAGCATTTATGGAGTCTCTCTCCTGTGTGGATTGCCTGATGTTTAACAAGGGCTGATATGTTTCTGAAACTTTTCCCACAGTCCAAGCACTTATGGGGTCTCTCTCCTGTGTGAATCCTCTGATGTGTTACAAGATATGATCGCTGTGTGAAACTCTTTCCACAATCTAAGCACTTATGGGGTCTATCTCCTGTGTGGATTGCCTGATGTCTAACAAGGTCTGACCGCCGTATGTAACTTTTCCCACAGTCTAAGCACTTATGGGGTCTCTCTCCTGTGTGGAATGCCTGATGTTTAACAAGGGCTGATGTGTTTCTGAAACTTTTCCCACAGTCCAAGCACTTGTGGGGTCTGTCTCCTATGTGGATTGCCTGATGTTTAACAAGGTCTGACCTCCGTGTGTAACTTTTCCCACAGTCTAAGCACTTATGGGGTCTCTCTCCTGTGTGGATTGCCTGATGTTTAACAAGGTCTGACCTCCATATGAAACTTTTCCCACAGTCCAAGCACTTATAGGGTCTCTCTCCTGTGTGCCTCCTCTGATGTGTTATAAGATATGGTCGCTGTGTGAAACTCTTTCCACAGTCCAAGCACTTATGGGGTCTCTCTCCTATGTGGAAATCCTGATGTTTAAGAAGGTCTGACCTCTGTATGAAACATTTCCCATAGTCCACACATTCATGGGATTGCTCTCCTGTGTGGATTGCCTGATGTCTAACAAGGATTGACCTCCGTACGAAGCTTTTCCCACATGCCAAGCATTTATAAGGTCTATCTCCTGTGTGCAATGCCTGATGTCTAACAAGGTCTGATCTCCGTGTGTAACTTTTCCCACAGTCTAAGCACTTATGGGGTCTCTCTCCTGTGTGGATTGCCTGATGTTTAACAAGGTCTGACCTCCATATGAAACTTTTCCCACAGTCCAAGCACTTATAGGGTCTCTCTCCTGTGTGCCTCCTCTGATGTGTTACAAGATATGATCGCTGTGTGAAACTTTTTCCACACTCTAAGCACTTATGGGATCTCTCTCCTGTGTGGTTTATCTGTTGTGTAATTAGTGCTGAATTCCAATTCAAACAATTCCCACACTCAAGGCATTGATAGGATTTCTCTCCCATGTGGCTTTTTCCATGGTTATTAAAGTCTGAGCAGATATTGAAGATTTTCCCAGGGGCCAAGCATTGAAGGGGTTTCTCTCCAGTATGGATTGTCTGATTCGTAACACGGTGTGGTCTCGCAATGAATCCTTTCCCACACTGGAGGCAGTGGTAGGGTTTCTCTTCCTTGGGATTTGTCCGCTGAGCTGTGGGATCCTTGTCTCCTCCCCCACAGTTAATAGATTCATCCACTTTCTTCCCTGGCTGGTTTCCCATCAGCCTCTCTGACTTGTGCCAATTTCCCCAGGCTTCTCCCTGTTCCCAGCACTGGGAAACATTCCCTTCAGCTCTTCCCACAAATGTGCGCTGTGGTTCCACTTCCCCAGGAACTTCCTCATGATGATTCCCCTTATCACTGACTCTCTCAGCACCTGCTGGGAGAGAGAGACAATCCAGACAGGAGTCATTGTGCTGGGGAGAAAGAGGAATAGCACAGAGGAAAAACCCACCACACAAAAGTTGCGAAGAATCAGCAATTGGATTCTGCTTCCAGATCCCACCCAAACACTCACAGGGAAGAAAGCTGTGAAGGAAACTCCTGCAGCTAACAGGACGGGTGGAAAACAGTGAGCGATATCTGCTGACTGCAGCCCTCCCTTTGTTGACATGAGGAAGAACTGTGAGCTCTTACACCATATTTTGGGGATTCTCAACTTTTTCCTTCATTCCCCAGATGGTTTCTGTGTCCATTCTCACCTGTGCGGGTGCATCTCAGGACCTCTGTTTCCTCGCAGACCTGGAGATCAGGCACCCACGGCTCTTCCCCTCGTTCCAGCTGTGCGATCAGCTCAGGTTTGGGAATGGGAAATCCTATACACAGGGTGAAATCAGACCAGATCAGGGTGCATGGAGTATTGAGAGAGTATTTGTTAGAAAGGGCATTCCATAAGTGGAATCTGTCCCCGTGCTGAGGGATAATTCAGTTCCAGAGGATGGGAACAGGGTCACTGAGCCCACTTGGGAGACGCAGGCAATGTTGGGATATGTACATATATAACCCATATATCCATGTAATATGTTATAGGACTTGGGGCCTAGTGTGGCTGGAGTGTGTTTCAACATGAGTGCATGATTTGCATTTTGGCAACCGAAGCAAGAACTGAAAGTTGAATTGGTCAAAAAGAACTGTATAAAAAATCCAATTTTGTCATGTCCTAGGGAAAAAAATGAAGAATCAGCAATAAAGGAAATAACAGCAACGGGATGGCTTTAAAACTGTGTAAGAATTGGAGGAAATGGCACCCCTTGGATCCTGGCTTCCTGCCCAAGACTGTCTCCTTGGAGTTGCAGATGAAGGCTCAGGACAACAGAGACTCCTCCTCCTCCTCCATATAATAAAGGGTTCCACACCCTCATAGACCTTCCAAAGAGAATTTAATAAGGCTGGTAGTCAGTATCCAATCGATCACTGCTCCGGATGGCTGCCAACACCATTGGTAATTTATTGTCCCAACCTTTGCCAGTTTCTTACACTACTTTGCGTAGGGGTTGCTTAATAGTCTGATCCATCCTTTCTACTTTCGCTGACGATTGAGGATGGTAGGGGATATGTAGTTGTTGCTTTACTCCTAAAGCTTTTATAACTTTTTTAAATTACTTTTCCTATAAAATGTGGTCTATCATCTGAACCAATTACTTTTGGAGTCCCATAGCTACTAAACAGTACTTTCCACAACTTCTTGGTGGTGGTCTCTGCAGTATAATTCCTGGTGGGAATTGCCTCCACCCAGCCAGAAAAAGAAACTACTATCACTAATAGGTTTCAGAGTAGCAGCCTTGTTAGTCTGTATCCGCAAAAAGAACAGGAGTACTTGTGGCACCTTAGAGACTAACACATTTATTTGAGCAGAAGCTTTTGTGGGCTAGAGCCCACTTTATTAGATACTCTCTAAGGTGCCACAAGTACTCATTCTTTTACTATCACTAATAAATACTGATTCCCCCTTTGGGTCTTAATAAAAGCAACCTGTATTCTACTCCACGGCCCTACAATTCTTTAGTGCCACAAGGGTCCCAAATTTGCTGGTCTATTTTCAATTGCTGCATATCTTATGCAATTTTTAACCAAATTTTCTACATCCTCTCGCACCTTAGACCGTATTCCAATCTGGTTTTCCCTGAAAGAGAGTATTTTCTATGCCTCGGTGGGCCATAGGGTGACACAGGTTAATGATCTCTTCTCTTTGAAGTTTATCAGGTACTCACTTTACCTCTCCTGTTTTCTTATTCACTGAATAACCCCCTTTCATACTCCAGGTTCCCCATCTTTAGGTTCAGCCTCCTGTTTTAAAGTGTGAGCTCTAGTAATTACCATAACCCCCAAAGGTTCCTTTTTTGCTAATTTAGCTAAGGCAGCCACTTCATCATTCCGATATTTTTCATCCCCTTCTCCCTTTGGATGACTTTTCGTATGTCTTACCTTTAATTTTCCCAGGTATTCTTTCAACCAATCAGAGATACATTTCCAATTTTCCTTTTGGGCCAAATATTCCCCCTCAGCTGTTTCCCAATGGTTCTTTTTCCAAATCCAAATCCAGTGTAACAGTCCCTGTACCACAAAGTCTGAATCCATATAGACATAAAGGCAAAGTGCAACAGTATTTTTTCTGTTTAAGCAGATCACAAAGGCTAAGTCTACACTAAAAACCTCAAAGCGCTCCTGCGGCAGCGCTTTGATCTGACAGTCTGGCCACCCGCTAGCGCTCGGGAGAGAGCTCTCCCAGCACTCTATGTAATCCACCTCGACGAGGGGAATAGCTCTGAGCGCCGGGAGCCTGTCTACACTGGCGCGTTACAGGGCGCAAATGTGCTGCACTTGGGGAAGGGTGATTTTTCACACCCGAGCGAGCAAGTTACTGCGCTGTAACACGCCAGTGTAGACATGGCCTAAGAGCTCTGAGCTCTGCTACCTGACCTGAAGTCCTGCCCATGGATCCAGAGAGTCTCCCCATTAGCTCGCACAGCCGCATCACCCATATATTGCTTACGCCTTTCATGGTACGAACGACCATCTGTGAACCAAACCTCTTTTCTCCAAGGCCTAACACTTCATCTACCGCGGTGCTTCTTCTATTAACTTTGGTTCAGCTTCCGGAAGTGGGCATTCATGCTCTTCTCCTTCTGTCAGGAGGACATATGGTAACATCCTTGCTTGTTTGTTATTCTCATAGGTAACATCTCTGCTAGTTAACATCAAAGCCCGTTGGGCCATTCTGGTATTGGGAACTCCTTTCTCCTGCAGTTTTCCTGATCAGATGTACGTCAGGGGAGAGTGAGGTATCTGTATTACAACAGGGGCTGTGCCAGTAGTCAAAGCAAAAGCTTCAATGGCCCACACAGCAGCTAAACATTCTTTCACAAATTCCAAACTGCGGCTCCATAGGGGTTAATCTTCTAGACAGGTGCGCCACCGGTATTAACTTTCCCCTATCAGTTTCTTGCATCAACACTGATGCTAATCCCTGTTGGGTTGCCGGCCACCTACGGCTTGTTCATCTCAGGGAATTTCAATGCCGGGGCTTGTACCAAAGCCTGTTTTAAGTCACAAAAAGCTTTTTTCTTGTTCAGGCCCCCATTCCCATTCTACTTTCTTTTTCAATAAACACCACAAGGGTCTAGTTATAATGGTGAAATGCCAAATGTGCTTTCTTAGATAGTTAAACCCTCCTAACATTACTCTCAATGCATGAGAATTCTCTGGTCTGGGTAATTTCAGCAATGATGTCACCTTTTGTTGATCTACCTGAATTCCTTGCTCCCTTAGGGTCACCCCCAAATAATTCACCCTGTGTTGCGCTAATTGGGCTTTCTCTCGAATAGCCTTAAAACCCGTTCCCTGAATAAGTCTCAACACCCTTTTAGTCCACCCAGTCAGCACCTCCTCAGTCTCTCCCCAACTAATATGTCATCTACATATGAGGTGACTTTCTCCCGATCCCCTTTGGAGAATTAATCCAGCATCTGCACCACATGTTGGTGTGCAATAGCTGGAGCACAGCGCAGGCCCTGGGGAATTCTTTTGAATAAGTCCCGTTGTCCCGTGAAAGTAAACACAAAGCGGGCCCAAGAATCGGGATGGCAACATTTTTTTTTGCTAAATCTATGACACAGAACCATTTAGAGGCCCCCTATATTCTTGTCATGATTTGAGGCAAATCTGCTACTATTGGTGCCATGGGAGGGGCATGTCTAATATCCACTGTCAATCTCTAATCTCTTGAAGCTTTTTACTACCAGCCAAATTGGGCAACTGTGTGCGGAATTCCCTCTTCCAATCACTCCCTGTTGTTCCAGTGATTCAACTATTTTCTCAATTCCTGCCTCTGCCTGCACGCGATATTTATATTGTCTCTGTGGTAGCACGTCATCCCCTGCGATTTTAACACACGCTTTGATTTTACCACATTCTGCTTTATTCTTGGTTCATACATTGGGAAACTCTTTTACCCACACATCTCGTGGATTCAGTGTAATCTCCTCCACTGCTTCTGCAGCACATATTCTTGGCATGTGTCCTGCTGTCAGAGCGTCTACTGTCCAGTCGGGCACATGCCACAGAACTCCATTAGGTAAATCCAAAACCAACTGATTCCTCTCCAAACAAGGAGTTCCTAATGTCATTGGCTAAGTCACCTGATTTATCTGAAGCATTTGTTCTTTACAACAAAAACCTCCTATTCTCCCTCTGGGTATAATAGTTATTTCTACTGAACGATACATCTTTCCTGCCAGTCCTTCCCCAGCAAAGGAGGCTGCTGTAATGATCTCAGACACATATCGAGTCAAATCACCATTTCTATTTATAATATTTACACCAGCCCCACTATCCAATAGGGCATTTTTGGGTCCATTGTCTCTGTGGTGGGGTGTCTGCCCCACCCCCATGCTAGAGGGGGCTGCAGCAGGCCAGTGTGCCTGTGCAGCCCAGCAGCCAATAAGAGAAGGGCTTATTAGGAGCCAATCAGGGCCTGGATTGGAGACAGCTAATCAAGGCCAGGCTCAGCCCTATAAAAAGGCTGCTCAGTGAGGGAGCAGTCAGTCTTTCCCAGACCTTCAGGAAGGAAGGTCTGTCTCCTGAGTAGGAGACCTGCACCCAGGAGAGTGCAGTGCTGGGCAGGCTTAGGGAAGCAGAGTGGAGCTGCAGAGTGGAGCTGCAGCCTGATACCTGCCAGACTGCTGGCCCGGAGTAGAAGGGCCTAGAGCAGGAGTCTCAAACTCAAATGACCATGAGGGCCACATGAGGACTAGTAGGTTGGCTCGAGGGCTGCATTACTGACACCTCCCCCCCTCGCCGCCCTTGGCCCCAGCCCCGCCCCCACTCCACCCCTTCCATGAGGCCCTGCCCCACCTCTTCCCACCCCTTCCCTGCCCCCATTCCAACCCCTTCCCCGAAATCCCCACCCCAACTCTGCTCCCTCCCTGCCCCCAGGGGTGTGGGGTGTGGTGGGGGCTCAGGGCCGGGAGTTGGAGGGTGGGGTGCAGGAGGGGTGAGGGGTACAGCAAGGGGTCAGGGCAGGGGGTTGGAGTGCAAGAGGGTGCAGGGTGCAGCAGGGGGTTCAGGGGAGGGGGTCGGGGTGCAGGGTGTGGCAGGGGGTT